ATAAATGCTTTGGCAATTAATATTGCATCAATAAATAAAGCAACGGAACTAAAAAATATTCTGCTAGCAAGCACAGTAAACTCTTTTAAGTGTCATAAACAAATCCGGACTGAACATCAAATTAATATCTCTGCAAAATATCGCAACGTTATTGCGCAATACGTGCGCCGTAATTCTTCCCTACCTGATATACGCAATCGGAATTAACAACTGAAAAAAAAAAAAGGGGGGGGAGGTCTGTTGCTTGTTTTGCAGCGAACTGCAACAGTTTCAATATTCAAGATTTTGCGGAGAAAGGGAAGACCTCCTAACCTTCGTACTGTACAATGTATTGTCCAAAAAAATGAAATTATTTTGACTATTCGATACTTTCCCTTTATTTAAGCCATTCCGAATTTATCCTTAGAAAGCTAAATCTGTGTTAAAAACACAAACCATTTTTGAAAGTTTTACTATACTCAGCAGTTACTGCAACTATGTTTATTATAAACATTCATACATATGCTCATAATATAAGCATTACGATCAGAATAAACACGAATATGAACGACCAAGCAGAACGAGAATGCAAATTTTAATATCTTGATAGAAATTCAAACGTGTGTAGTATTGGGGGTGGGAGGAAAAGAATCCAAATGTAGCGGAATTTTCTACTGCTTCGCAATTCTTTGACCAATAGAACGACGGCACCTGTCTACTCTTCGTGCACACCAAAGGTTATGTTTAATGCAGAGAAAGGGGGGAAAGCTATTTCCGGGAGTATGACTACCATCTGACATTCCATATTAGAAAGAAAAGTTGTTTTTAGTTTCGGGCTTTGGGTACGGGGAAAAATAGCGCGTTCATTAAAAAAAAAAAAAAGCACTAAAACAAAAAATAAGGGCTTTAAAGAAAAGGAAGCACCTATAAGGGCCTTTATATTTTATTTTCAAATATAAGGACTTATAAGCACTTGTAAGGACCGCTAGGAACCCTGTTAAAGAAACTTGTTAAGATAATGCCTGTTTGAGATCTACAACACAAAATACATAATTGTTTTATTTAACACAATTTTTTTGGCAATTAAAATTTAGATGTAAATATTACTGGTCATGAATTTAATTCTGTAAGACAGAGTATGTATCTCTTCATATGCACTATAATAATCACACATGCAGAGCATCATTAAGTATAGACAGTACTAATATGAAGATACTCAATATATAGACTGCTCTGAATGGTCACTGCATTTAAATTCAAATGAATATACTTGGGATACGATGGGAAGATGAACTGCTAGCTATCAATCATTTCTACTTAGCTCTTTTGAATAAAACATGTCCTTTAAAAGGAGTGGCTAATAAACCACAAAAATTACTTTATAAGCTCATTTAACAATATCGTACGGATATAGAGTGATTCTAATAATACACATTGATCACCCATTCTAATACCAGTTTTTTACAAGTTTTTTTTAACACAGGAAAAGCAAAAAGCTCACAGCATAAAAATTAAGCAAATTTATCAAATATAATGAACTTTAAATTTATGTGTACCCCTTTAGCACAGTAAAATAAACTTTCAACTTTTAGTTCTAATGCATTCCTTAAAAAAATAATTAAATAAATAAATATAAATGGAGATGTATGGGTGGGGAATGATACTCTACCATATACTGAGCTAGGGCAATAAAGGTTGAGAGGCACTTATATAAATGAGTAAATATGGTTCAAAATCAAATAGCATTTTGAACCTACTGCATGTGCCTGCCAAACTGCTGGAAAGAATGCAGATGATACCCCCCCACAACAACAACAACAACAACAACAACAAACTATCACAGACATTTTCAGGGAAGGACTAAAATTTATGCAATTGCTTTTTTAACTTCCAATGAATTCTGTTAAAGCATTATGCTATATCTCACTCACTAAAATCTCCAATTCTACGTGTATTTTTGCATTAATTACAGTTCTAAGGAATGAATTTCTAATTTGGATTATCCATGTTTTCCTACTACCAGAGATATGTGTTCAGATAGAAAAGTCAAGAATCTATTACATATACATCAAAATATTGAAATTTGGACATCAAATATCCAGAATGGCCTAATATCCAAAGTTGAGGGTAACTGGGAAACGTGGGGGAATTATGAATATTTTCCCCTTACCTTTTTACTTATTCAAATATTCAGGAACTTGATTTTCCTCTGGACTAACAGAGATTCCTATATGTCACTTTTAAACACCTGATAGCTAGGAATCACACCCTGGCCAGTGACGATATACTGATTAATACTGTGTAGATAATGACTAGGTCCACACTTTTAGCCCTCGAGTGGCTGTGGGTTGAGACAGCAGTAAAGCACCATGGCATATTTATTTGGGGTGAGATGTTGCTCATATTTGTTTTCTTTTGCTGATATAGCAGCAGGAAAGGGAGAAAATTAGATTCCAAAGTCAATATATCAAATTGCATTTCTCATTAACTTTCTAATTCAGTTTAGTTTATTACTTTTTCCAGGCTATTTTTTTTTACAGCTAGCGTATCAAGTTAAATTTTGGATTTAAAACCATGCTAAAGTGAAATCTGTAGCTTGATTTTAAATCCAAAACTTAAACTTGATAAGGTAGCTGTAATAAAAATAGCCTGGAAAAAGTAATAAACTAAACTGAATTAGAAAGTTAATGAGAAATGCATTTTAAATCCAGATAATACAGCTACTGATAGAGAAGAAAGTGATAAAGAGGTTGTTGAGAACAATGTTTTTGACTGACAAGATATTAAGACAAGGCATTTTCAAGATTTAAACAACAGAACAAGAACTTTTGTTTAAAAATTAAAGATAGAGCATTAGCCAAGAAAAAAAGTTTAAACTAGTTATACTGAAAGAAATGTTTAATAAAATAAATTAATAAGCACTGTGCTTTTTGTTTGTAATTGTTGATTAAGGTCATAAAAATGCTTCATTATTTCAGAAATAATAACTATTTCATATTTCTGATTTTATAATTTCCATACCTCATCTTATTAAATTTAAACTCATGACGCAGGGTTCGTAGCCACAGTTTAGTTAAAAAAAAATTAGCACCTATAAGCACTTTTCAAGCATATTTTAAGGAAAAAATAAGCACCTCTCTAATTACATTATATACAACTGCATAACCTTAAAAGAAAAATTAGACTTGTAATTTAAAATATGAGCAATGCAATATTTATTAAGAGAATGAGCATTGAAATTTAAATTCAAAATATAGAAAATAAATAATAAGAAGCCATATTAATTGTATTTGTTTGGCACTTAATAATAAATACAATTTATTTTCCCACTCATATTAATGTTTAAATAATTTAACTTAAATCAAAATTCTGAACATTTTATAAATATTCATTGCATAACAGTTTTCTCTTAACATATATTACAAGCAAAGTAAATTAAGTAAAAAAGATCCACATTTCTGAAATCAGAAGACGGGAAATTGCTTCATGCAGTCATCATTTAACAGTAAAAGCTTAACTAATCCGCATACTTGGAAATTGCTGAGTATTCTGAATAGTAACTGGAAAAAGAGGAGTGTGGGAGATTGTAGCCGTTCTTTAGATTTCTCGGCTAAATAAATGATTTTGACATTTCGATATGTGCATCATATAAAAATAGACCAACGGAACTGAGAAATATTCTGCTTAGAAAGCACAGTAAGACTCTTTTAAGTGTTCATAAACAAATCTCGGACTAAACATCAAAATTAATTATCTCCGCAAAATACCGCAAACGTTATTGCGCAATACGTGCGGCGTAATTCTTCCACATGTGATATTACGCAATCAGAATCAACAGCTGCCCGTATTCGAAGAATAAAGAACTAAATAAAGGAACAGAAAGAGACTTACTGATCCGGGGTGTTTCCGATTCTAATTTTCAACAGACTGCGTTAAATTTCCAGAATAGAATCAATCTTGGCTTAGGCTAGGTAGACCACAAAAACTTTTAGTCCTATTCAATCCAGATTGGACATTGACAAAAAAAAAAAAAAAGACCGCTGTTTCAATATTAAAGATTTTGCGGAGAAAGGGGAGAACCTCCCAACCTCCAAACTGTATAATGTATTGGAAAAAAAATTTTTTTTGAGTATTCGATTACTTTCCTTTTATTTAAGCCATTCCGAAAATTATTAAAATCTTGACAGAAATTCTAAATGTGTAAAGACACCGGAATTTTCTACCGTTTTCGCAATCTCTGACCAATAGAACGACGTGCACCTGTCCTGTACTCTCTGCGCGCACCATAGGTTACGTTAATGAAGAAGAATAGGGGGAAAGCAATTTCCGGGAGTATGATTCACCATCTGACGTTCCATATAAGGAAGAAAAGTTGTTTATTTAGTTTCGGCTTTGGTACGGGGAAAAATGCGCGTTCATTAAAAACAAGCACTAAAAGTAAAAAATAAGCACTAAAAAGAAACAAATACGGGCTTTAAAGAAAACGTAAGCACCTATAAGGGCCTTTATATTTTAATTTCAAATATAAGGACTTATAAGCACTTGTAAGGACCGCTACGAACCCTGTGACCTAAAATATGAAATCATCAAAGTCCCAAAGATTCCTGATATCAGACTTTGTACTATAACAGTTAATTATAAAAAAAGCACTGCTAAAAAATTATTTGTATATGAAACAACCACAATAAGAATGTATGTTTAATGTTCATATTTTTATATTTTGCTCCAAAAATATCTGTAGGTTTATTTTATTATACAAACCAATTAAAATATTTATAAATAGCAGGATATTGCTTTATTGTTTTCTAAAAGAACTAAAGAACTGTTTAAAAAAAGCAATTAAAATGAAAGAACCAACAAGCCAAAGCTTTAGCTCATTAATTAATTATATGATGGATTTAAAATAAATTTTAAAATATTATATAAATAAAAATAAAATAAGCATTAAACTGATATTTTGAACTAAAGGATAATAAAGTTACATGAAAACAGAAGAAACTAATTTCTCAGCATTAACCTACCACAATCTCGTTCATCACTGCCATCTCTACAATCATATTGTCTATTGCACCGCAGATTACTTTCAATGCACTGGCCATCCTGGCATCTGAATTCATCTGGTTGACAAGCTTTCGGTTCTGGGGAGGCAAAGCACATGCAGTGACATAAGCATTAAACTTAGGATCCTAATTGTTACATTAGCTATGCTAACAGAAGTCATAACAGAAACAAATAGTAGGCATTGCAGCAAATAAACATAAATAAACAAAAACTAAAAATTTAAAAAATCTGGAACAAAAAGTTGAAAAAGTTGTTAATTATTTACCTTTGTATGGTTTTTAAGAAATGTCATTAAATACAGTTTTTTAAAAAAATAAAATCCTCAACATCTTAAATCAACTAGTATTGATTTAAATAAGCAAAATCTATGCATAAGATTTAAAAACACTAAAGGAAAACTATTAATATCTTTATGCTGATACAATAACATATAATGCATAAACAGGCAGCGAGTCTTGCATCATTGTAACTACTAAATCATGCATTTTATTTTTATTCATGAAAGCATTTCCCTTAAACTCGTCATTCTTTTATGTATTTCAGTTTGATTCATGAAATCATTTCCCTTACCCTAGACATTCCTTCTCTTACTAATACAAATGAAATAAACTGATAATATTACCAAAAAAAAGATAGAAAAATTACTCATTGTACATGCAAAGGAAAAAGAACTGCTCCATATTCTATGAAAAACTAGTTCATATTCATCTTAATACAGAGAACAAAAAATCTGCATTAACTGACAGAGTTATTCTTTTCTAATTTATAATTACTGCAGCCATTCTGCCGATAAAATGAATAATAATAATTAAATCTACAAAACATGGCAATATTAACTGAATAATGAATTCATTTATTAGGCAAAAAGTTTAAAGCTGTATCTATAAAAAAGTCTAATTTCATTACAAAATGAGAGGACAATCTTTTTTCTTGCATTAAAGAGCTTGTAGTAGTTATGATAATGTCAATTTGCAAGGCATAACACATGATTCACAGCTGTTTTATTAACCATGAGTTTTTTCTAATTTAAATTTAGAAAAAAATATTACAGCTACTAAATTTAATTCATTTAACTAGAGGATGTATCTCTTTAAATGAAGACTAATAATTATTCATGTAAAGCACCACTAATTATAGATAGGAAATAGGGTGAAGATATGCAATATATGAATTGCTTTGCATGGTCGCTATCAAGGCTGTGGAGTCGGTAGGAAAAATGACCAACTTCGACTTCTTGAATTTTAATGACTCCGACTCCCTCATATATATATAGATATATATATATATATATAATATATATATATAATAAATGTGTCTGTGTGTGTGTGTGTGTAAACATATATACATGGATTACAGCTTATTCTTTAATACAAAAGAAGTAATAGATGCTACAGAAAAAAATTGATGGCATAGCAAATTATTTATAACAATTAGCATTTATTATGAAATAGGAAAACTGGCATTAGTTATTTCTAAGAAACAGTATAACTTCAGCAAGATCTTTGTTGGAGGGCCATAGAATACGATTTGATAAACTTCAGAGCTGAAAAGGTCTTTCCACACTGATTTGAGTAGGAGGAAGACCTATTACTGTTAGGGCTACTTCTTCCAACTTTTCAGGATAGATTTTTATAAGTTCTAAAAGAGGTATCTTGCAAGTGCAGTCATATTTCTCTATTTCTTTGAAGGCCGTGTAGAAATCTTGTTTGTATTTTTTCATTTTTATATCTAGAGGCTCTTGGTTCTTTATTTTCATTCGTTTTGCCTTAGCCTTTTCAATATTATCCAAAAAATATTTCTTAAAATCTAATTCATCACTAGAAGAGTCAGAGTTGGATGATAGAGACTCAACTGCAGTTTCTGCAGTTTGACTGTCTTGATTCGAATTCTCCAATTGTTCTGAGAATAATTTCATTCTTAATGAAAGTTCAGAGTTTTTTTTTATCATTTATTTATTCTTTGCCTTTTTAATTTGTTTGTCATCCAAGAAAATTCGGTGTTTCGGATCTCCATACATTGAAATCAGCAAAATCTCATTTTCTAGCAAACTAGTTTCTCTTTTCTTTATTGGAGAAACGATTCCTTCTGCAATAAACCCTCCATTTCAGAAAGAACAAACATCCCATTCTTCCATTCTCGCCTCCTGTCAATTCTTCTGATTGCAGCTTTGTTGTGGCTATATACGGTGTAGGAAGAAGAGTTTCCAATTCTGCAAGATCATTCCACAGTGTTTCTGTTAGGGAAACATTAGAATTATCTACTTTTTCTAAAAAAGTTCTCAATTTTAAAAGCTCTTTATCATCAAATATGTACTTCCTTATCACATTGCTTGATAAAATAATTGCTCCTTTTCCTGCTCGCTTCCTAAGAATGGCATCAATTTTAGGAGTTCTTGCTGCTATTGCTGCTTACATAAATTTACCAGTGAGATTTGTCACTAAATGAATCAGTTTAATTGCTAATGGCAAATATCACATTCATCCTTATATTTATTTATGAACATGTCAATAAAATAGAAAATAACTATTTATTAATGTATACAGTTTGTAAATAAAAATAATAACTCAGCTTAATTTTTTTCAATTCATTTTAATTTCATTTCAAATTCAAACTGTCCAACAAAAACTGGAGTCTGAGTCAACCTGTTTTTAGCAACTCCAGCTCCGACTCCTTTTAGCCCAAATTCTGCCCGACTCTGATTCCGACTCCAACTCCACAGCCCTGGTCACTATACTTAAATTCAAATGAATGTACTGGGGAAATGATGGTAGGATTAACTGCTAGTGAGCAATCATTTTTACTTAGTTCTTTTAAATTAAAAATGCTCATCAAAAGTAATGGATAATAAATCACAAGAGTTACTTGATAATCTCATTTAACAATGCCATACAGATATAGTATGATTATAAAAATGCATGCTGATCATGCATTCAACATGGAAATATTTGTACTTCTGAGTTTTTTCTAATATCAAACTTCTAATTCATTCATGTAAAACTGGCTGCTGAGCACACATTTATACACCTGGATGATTATTCTGAGAATGAACATGCTTTTCTTTCACTACCTTTTATCATTATTCATAAATTTACATCCACTTTTTTCTTCTTTTCAAGGAAAAATAACTTTTTTTTTTTTTTTTTTTTTTTTTGTGTTGTTGTTCTATTACACTAGTTCAAACATTTTAAGGATTCAGACCTTCGAGGGTATAACATGGGCTAAAACGTGATTTGCATTTCCTCAGAATCAACTGTCAGCAATGCCAGATGCAGGCGTCACACTTTAAAGTGTGCTTCACAGAAATGGACCATACCTTAACAAGAGCAAGATGAGCAACACCCCCCTCCCCCACCAACTTTGATTTGCAGCAAGGTTACTACTTTTGCCAAATGCCTCAATCTGCCACTATTTTTGGCTCAATGCTACCACTTGGTAGGACTTCAAACCTTTGCCTAGGCACCTGCTTTTTCATCCCAAAACAAATGCAGCCCACATACTTATCTGTATCTTGTAATTCAACTTTTAACTTTAAATTTAACTTTTGTGCTGTTTGTAAACTTTACCTTAAAATTTTTAATTAATTCTTAAATATAAATCTAATATATTTAATTTAATCTTTCAATTTTTAATTTAATTGCCTCTTATTCACTGCCTAGTGAAATTTTCCTTTAATCCTAAATTTGCCCTCAGCACTTAACTTTTAAAGTTATAGTCAGCTTTCTGAAATCACAGTACCAGCAGAATCATGAACTGCCAATAGCCTCCCCATAATTCTTTACATTCTGGTTCGCAGCTTTTGATGCTCATTTTCATAGCAGTCTTGCATGTGTAATCTTGGTGTGTGCCTTTGCCATCCTCATTTGACTTTCAACTACTGCTCAGATGCCTTGACATAGGGGACAATTGCTCCTTTTATGCAGGCTCGCTTGGCAATCGTTCTAATCTACAGGCGACCCTTTATCTGTTTCTTTGTTAAACATGTAATGGCCTTCTTGTTACTCTTTAGCCAATGCATCTTTTCTTAACTTCAATTTTTCATTTTTATGATATGGAGGTAATTATGATTTTGTTACAAAAGTGCTCCTTAAACAAAATGCCTCAGTCCTAATATTTTTGCAGAAAATATACTAATAATTATATATCTAATGGTATGATAATTAAGTTTTATATACACATAATTAAATTAAATAGATTGCAAATTTAATCATAGTTTAGGGAAAAAAAAAAAAAAGATGGATCTACTTCTCAAAGTAAGATTTTTTAAGATTAATAAATCAATCAGATATTTTAATAGAAATGTTATCAAATTAAAAAGAATACTGGGACCATCTGGTTAGCAAATTAAAAGAAAATTGTGACCATCTGTTTCTAAACATTTTAGCTTTCACTATATCACGCATCATCTTTTTATACTTTGTAACTGTTTAAAATCATTCTTTGCTATTCAGCACCATCTTTTTCCTTAGTAACACTTGCTTTTGCAGCATACAGCTATATTTAGATTCATTTTGCTAGAAGAATACTTAGTATTTAACTATTTTTTATGATACTGAAATAGATAACTATTTTGTATTAGATAGATGCAGCAAATAAAAATATTGATAATGTCACAAAAGTATCTCATAGCCACTAAAACGGAAAGATTATAATTTTTTATTTATGCTAATGCAGATCACCTTTTATTTTCTAATTTTCTACACAAACAACCTTTCAAGTGACAATTACGAGGGCTATCCAGAAAGTAGATTACGTTTTGGAATAAAAAAATAAACAAAGTATAGGAAACAAATTTTATTATATACAGATGAAAGCCACACTCAAATACTACTTTTCTACATAGTCACCATACAAATTAAGGCATTTATCGTAGCGATGTACGAGCTTGGAAATTCCTTCGTCGAAAAATTCGGCCGCCTGCGCCTTCAACCACTTCGTTACCTCTTCTTGCAGCTGTGCGTCGTCATCAAAACGCTGCATAGCCAGCCACTTCTTCATTGCTGGGAATAGGTGGAAGTCGCTCGGTGCCAGGTCGGGACTGTACAGCGGATGAGGAAGGAAACAACTCCCACTTAAAAGATTCAAGAACTTTACGAGTGACATTTGCCGTGTGGGGCCGGGCGCGTTGTCGTGAATCAACAAGATCTTAGAGCTCAACATTCCTCTGCGCTTGTTTTGAATTGCTCTTCTGAGTTTTTGGAGAGTTTGGCAATACCTTGAGAGTTTATTGTAGTGCCTCTTTCCAGGAAGTCCACCAAAAATTACACCTTTTCTGTCCCAAAAAACAGTCGCCATCATCTTCCTTGCCGACATTGTTTGCATGCATTTCTTGGGTTTTTGGGGAGAAACTTGTGTGCCCCCACTGCATTGATTGCAATTTCGTTTCACAGTTCACATGTTTCACCCATGTTTCGTCACCAGTAACGATGCGATCGAGTAAAGAGTCACCATCCTTATGGTAAGCGTCCAAAAAGTTCAACGCTGCAGCCATTCGCTGATTTTTGTGGTCCTCTGTCAAGATTTTTGGAATCCATCTTGCACAAAACTTGTGGTAACCAAGCTTTTCGCTGATGATTTCGTGCAACAAACTTCGCGAAATTTGTGGAAAACTCAAAGAAAGTTCCGTTATTGTGAAATTTCGATTTTCACGGACTTTAGCATCGACTTTTTCGAGAAGTTCGGCGGTCACTATGCTGGGTCTCCCACTTCGATCTTCGTCGTGAACATTGGTTCGGCCATTTTGAAATCTTATGACCCACTGACGCACTCCACCTTCAGTGATAATGTTGTCCCCATACACTTCATGAAGCTGCCGATAGATTTCTATCGGTTTACAGTTTTTTGCAGTCAGAAACCTTATTACTGAGCGCACCTCGCAGCTCGCAGGATTTTCAATTAACGCAGACATTTCAAACCGTCACAGTATCTGAACGGAGCACAGCACGAACCTCTCACTAGCACGGCTAGATGCAGAATGAGCTGCGCAACGCTCTGACCCCAAGATGGCCGCGCTAGCCCCGCCCCTAGCGGACACAGACGGAAACGTAATCTACTTCCTGGATGGCCCTCGTAAATACGATAGAAATTGACAAAGAATTATTTTTCTCAAATAATTTAATTAGATTGTAGAGTCATTAGGTTATTTTGAAGCAAGAGGCATGAAAAATTAGCAGTGCCCTCGCTGAGACTTAAACCTTGGACCTCTTGAATACCCATCAAGTATGCTTCAAATTACAACACAAAGGCAGGTGCAAATGAGAGAGAAAATGCCTATACTCCCTCTTTTAAAGGGCAACTGGGGATAAGGGGACCAAAGTATCAAATGCTGATGGTGACGAATTATCGATCACCACTTTTTAGTTCGGGTGCTACTGTAGAGTCATTAGGTTATTTTGAAGCAGGAGACATGAAAAATTAGCAATGCCCTCGCTGGGACTCGAATCCTGGACCTCTCGAATATGCATCAAGTATGCTTCCAATTTATACCACGGAGGCATACAAAAACAAGACAGAAAATGCCTTATAACATATGTAATAACTCTTTTATAAAATTATGTTTACTTAACTAATCCTCTTAACTAAAAAAATTATTTTCTATTAATAATTTAACTGACTAAACCTTTTTACCCAGTAAAGAAATTTTATCACAACATCAGCTAAGATTTTATATCAGTATTTTACACTGATCAATATAATTTTATCTAAGAGCTATCTCATAACTTTTGCTCAAATTAAATTTTTACAAACTTTTAAATTACATCTTTGACATACATGACATCAATTGTTTTGCTTTTTTTAATAGGCTCATTATTTCTAGTTTTATTTCAATGGTTGTGCATGCATTTTTCCACTTATACAGTGAAATACAGAAATTTTACAGCCTTCAGTGAATTTCCCCCCCCCTCCCTATGCAATACTCTATAGTTGAAGTAGTATAAACAAATTACATATGTAGGCATATGAGGTACATAGAGGTTCAAATAATGCAACTATTTTTAAGTATATGAACACTAAATTGAAATATTTTACTTAAATTAATTGAGTGACACTTCAAAAGGAATGCTTTTGAAAAAATGTTTAAAAAAATTAAAACATCTATGGGCCAAAAGATCCCATGTGCTATCCATGCCCACCCCTATGGATAAAAAAGCAAATCTAATTTACCAGTCAAAAATAATTTACCAGTCAATTAATTGAGTGACACTTCAAGAGGAATGCTTTTGAAAAAATGTTTAAAAAAATTTAAACATCTACGGGCCAAAAGATCCCATGTACTATCCATGCCCACTCCTAAGGATAAAAAAGCAAATCTAATTTACCAGTCAAAAATTAGGTGTGAAGAAAACATATTATAATGCATACAATGATGTAAAATACTTTGTTTTAAATAAATATGTTAATATTTTTGCAATTGGGCAGAATTTCATACATGAATTAGATACACTTTATAATCTGGTTCCTCTCACAAATTTATTTGGTCATCAAATTTATCAAAAAAAAAAGTTTTTCATGGTCCACATGTTTATTTGATTCAGAATTAATATTTTAAAATGTATGTTATAGATAAAATTTAGCAGTTTAATGGCCTGAAATTATATGAACTCATAGCCAAAATTATACAAAATAAGCAAAATTAACTTAAAATATGCATAAAACATATATAATTAGCATACATGCAAAAAAAAAAAAAAAAAAAAGTAATATAACTGAAAATGTTCAGCAAATTGCCATACCACATGTAAACTCATCAGTGCCATCCCTGCAATCATACTTTCGATCACACCTCAGATTACTGGCAATGCACTGGCCATCATTACATCTGAACTCATCTGCCTCACAAGCCTTAGGCTCTAAAATATGTTTAAATGACAAAATTCCTTTAGGCATCTCTTCATATAAAGCAAGATGTAGTGAAAAGGATATGAATGTTGCAAATATTTATAATTACACTTAAAAAGTCAAAACTATATGCATTTGCACATTTATGAGACTTAACACATCTTAAGTGGGAAACAACTAAACTAATTTTGTACAAGTTGTTATTAAATTGTGGGAGATGAAAAATGTTTCCTATGAATTATCAGTGGAATTTTTTATCACAAAATGATTTTTCTTTACAGTAAACTTGAATTTTATACAATAAGTTCCTAAAAAGAAGAACGAGCTTACCGATGATTATTTTAGAGGTGATAAAATTATACCACATCCAAGGATTTTTTCCTGATAAAGAATTACAAGCTGTTCTCATTCAAACCCAGATTCAGATAATTCTGGTTTTAAAGAAGAATGGCTGTCAGTAGACAATCCATCAATCTTGAAAGCATTTCTAAACCTCTCAGGAATAAATACAGAAAACATTCCGGACAGTGTACAGCATATAGTGTATATGCTATACTAAAAAATCAGAATTATTACAAAAAGCTTTATGGAAAAGGTAAAGATGAGGCAGTAAAACTGCATCAATCTATTGCTGGCCAGTCATAGCCCCAGCTGTAAGCACATATAGGGGCATGCGTCATTGATTATCATGCCAACACATATTGTGCGTCTCAGATATTGGTTCCTTTCCTAGATATTTTTTGAATGATAGGCAGTATCATTCTCAGACCAGATCAGTTGGCATCTACAAACATATGGCAGACTGCAGTTACTTTCACCTGAGAATACTGCACAAGCATGGCCCTGTTTACCGCAACTATGATGCTCATGACACGGTTGCAGACAGATTTTGGTATGGTATTCTCGGACAATAGAACACACACAAGAGATCAATGGTGTATAGTTCTTCTTCAAGCATCTGGTTACAGTTTTCCAGAATATTCACTGATCTGTAGCAGCAAGAAACTTATTCACCACCAGCTGAACAGAGATGTACTGGTTTCATTTTGCTGATAGGGCAAAATATCTATCTCTTGCAAGCATTCATCAACACTATATACCATCAACATTTGGTATTAGAAAAAAGCAACAAAGTACGATATTCCAGGGAGACTTTTCAAGGACATGAGACAACATACATTAGAAGAACTTATCACAGGAGCTAGCAAAAAGTACTTTGCGACAACTGTGTGTGCTCTGTCATAAAAATATGCAGTGTAACACAGTATATGTGTAAATTTTGCTATGCACCCTCACACAAAGGAAAGTGCTTTGACAGATATCCCGCTTTAAAACATTAAATGTATTGTTATTAAGAAAGTTTTTTTTTTTTTTTTTTATAATCTTTTAACAGACAATGATTTTACCATTAGTAATTCAGCACACTAATTTAAAAAAATGCCCATTATTGCTGAGAATTTGGTGAAAAAATACCCGCTTAAGATATTTTAAGACATGCATACAGCTGCAGATAAGAACACAAATATGCCATGCATTACAGTACACCGAGCTAAATCTGTTATTTTTTATTTGCATAATTTTTTTTTTCTTTATAGAATATAAAAATAACTGTTGGCACCTGAGAAATGAAATAATGTTATACTGTACTATAATAAAATATGTACAGTGTCGAAAAGTAAGTTTACAAGGTTATTATTTCAATAGTAAAATTTATTTTTATATAGACAGTATATTCCATAATAATTAATTAAGTTTTCTATACAATTATGACAAATATAATTTATTAAAACAAAGAACATATTTTCAATGCCCGTCTTATAAAATATAGTGCTTTAGAAGTTGATTCACTGTGTCACCACTGTTATGATATTCTTATCACTTTAAACATGTCACCAAAAGATGTTCCTTGAGAACTGAAAAGAAGTGAAATCAATTTATGCCAGTGGACTATATTCAAAGTCTCTTATATTGCCTATAGTTTCTGAATTGAAACAGCTGAGTGTTGATGAATATCATTATAGAGGATTAAACAAACTTACAATGTAAGCTGATAAAAAAATGGTTGCTGTAACTTGGAATCGGAGAAAGCAAATCAATACACAGTATGACACGGGAAAGGTTACCTTATGAATTAGCATCAGACACTCTCCTAATATGCTGCTTACAAAAGGTAAGTTAACCCTCCTTGATAATTTTTTTAAATGCAAGTCCGCTTCAAATTCAGGAACTTTTCTAATGCTGTCAGATGAAAACTTTTACCACTTGCATTTAGTCTTTGATTAGGTGATGCCTTTTCCAGTTTTCTTAGCTTTCCTAGTCAAGGGTGTTTGCTTGTTTGGGAAACTAAAGCAAATCCCACAATGGCCATCTGTCTACAAATTAGGTATACCTTCACAGAAGTTCTCTAGAACAAACTAGCTTATATTCACATTACATATGCCATGTAGCTAAATGCCCATGCAGCCAGTCAATTTACCAGGATTGTAATCTGATTGATTAATTTTATTTAGATTATCAGTAATCAAGAAGATTATTTATCTTTTTTGCCACTAGTAGGTACAATAGTCAAGTGTGTACCTTGGATGGCCACAGTTTTTGTAAGGCAGAGGAGTAAGATGTCAAAACAGCAGTGATTCAAGCATTAGGATGCTACATTTTATAAGATGGGTATCAAAAATCCTGTTTTAAACTTAGACAAACTTAAACAAATCTTAGACAAATACTTCTATTGTCACAGCACTTGTACAGAAAAATAAGGGATAGAACACAATGTTCTATGCATAATTTTTCTTGATGCAATAACTCTTACAAATTTTTCTTTGGGATGTCCTTTTTAGCATTGTCATCACAGAACTAGTATTAATAGCTTTACAATTACTTTTTTACGTGTGTTAACTCAAAAAAATGAAAGACCTCATAATCAATACTGATAAAAATAAGTTGTATTAGCAAAAAAGTTCACAATAAATTTACAAGCATAAAATTAACAATATAAGAAAAAAGGCATTTCAGCATAGGTATGGTAATATAAAGGCAGATGGCCGCATTTTTTTCTTCAGCTTTCTCTGAAAGAAAAGCAAGTTGAATGCTATATGAAATAAATATATCAGTAATTAAAGTCATAAACATTCTGTATAAGTTCAATAACTATTGGATGAAATACATCGAGTTTATCCTATACTTTAATTCACTTTAACCAATATTTCCACACCATTCACACCCTAAATAATTAATAATGATTCTGATACTCAGATTTGTAGACTACCATAAATTGTGAATATATCATGGTTATAATGATGCTAGTAGTGCCATACTTACTTATCTAGCAGAAAATTGGAATAGACATCATCTGTCAGATGTATCGAGTTTTAACAAATGTTTTCTGCCACTGCAAATAATATTTGTGCAAACAGTTCACATTTGGCGTGTTTAACCCTTAATTACACAGGTGGCGCACAGAGTGCTACAGTTCTTGAAAACCTTTTCGCGAATTCTAAGAAAATCACATGACTAGCACCTGCTCCCAACCTAACCTTTGTCCATTTATTCATTTCAGAAAAGGAAGCCGTAAAATGTTGAAGGTCACAGTTTCTAGGGTTTAATTTCAGGATTATTTTCGACAAGTCTCTCGTGGTGCACAAAGTGCTACATTTGTGTAACAATGTAAGTATTTGTTTTAACACTTCGTAGTTTGTTTTTTAATTTTTGCATGATTAGAAAGTAATATTATCGTTCATAATACTTTAGAATTATTTAATTTGTCAATCTTTCAGATTACTTACTAATATACAAAAAATAAGCTGACTTTCTTATATTTCAGGTTTTCAAGAAGAAAAAATATAGTTCACCGTGATGATTATGCAAGACTTCTTCAAGAGTTATCAGATGAAGAATTAAGCAAATATAATGTACATTGTAAAAATGTACACTGTAAAAATTTCACTTATAAAAATTACATTAAACAAATAGACTATATTTGTATAAATTGTTATAATCAGAAAAATAATGGAGAATATGATATGTCCAAATTAAAAAATATCTGCAACTTTTTTTTTTTTTAATTAAGTCTATTTTATTCCAGAATTTTCCTTAAATTGCATATAAGATATTATTTTATACATTATGCAGATCAAATTGATACAATTACATTTTTATTTCATTGCTTAGCATACATTATTTATTTAAATATTTTATTTACTAAATAATATTACAAAAGATGCCTTTATGACTGAAATATTAACTGGCGCATTTTATGCACGAACTGTGTAACTACGTAACTTTCCCCACCTGTGTAACAAAGGGTTAATCATATTTTGTCGAACTATTTTTGGGATTTGAAAGAAAGAGACTTGCTTTAGAACACTTTGTTGTGAAATTTGTAAAAAAAAAATATTGTTATCATTAAGTACAAGGTGTCTGAAATGACCTACAGCAGCCATACCATTCAAGTCATCACCCTTTGTGATTTTGGTGGTGTCAAGTTGGAGCTCATTGCAAAATGGAGAAGAGATCTGATCTGTTCTGTTCTCAAATGAGAGCCTTTTATGCCTTGGTGAAAGTAATGGTCATATGTTGGTTAGAAGGAGGCCAAGAGAACTCTTGGAACTCTTGTCTGCAGCATAACAGCATAAACACATTGTATCTACACCAGAGCTTATGGTGTTGAGAGCAATTTCCTATGACATCAAGAGAACTCTTTTTGTCATCCCACTAATCTTTACAGCAAATTTGCACATCAGACCGGTGACTGCACCAGTTTTGCTGCTGTTCTTAAGCAATATTCCAATGGCAATTTCCAACAGGATATCATTCTTCCATTGAGCATGTGCGGGACATGACTAGGTGAAAAATCCAGTGTCAACCACAACCAGTATGGACTGCTGCTGATTTAACAACCAAGTGACGAAAGTATAGAACTGTACCCCACAAAATGACATACAACACTTACATGACACAATGCATGCATGCACACATGCTTACTTCAAAATTATACTGACTATAGTGGTTATTAATGGATCGCCATTCAAAATTTGACATGCTCTTCTTGCACATATTTTAACCTATGACCTTGAAACATTAATCAAGTAAATATGTTACCCAGAAAAAATGCTTTGCCTACATTACATTTCTCTAAACTATTTTCTCTTGGTGTTAAGATTTCATTTTCCATCAATGACTCTACATATATGTCATATTTTTAATGCATAGCCGTGGTGGCTGAGTGGCAAGACAAACAGTTGAAGAAGACACAAATGAATTTTGAAGAAGTCCCAAGCTTTATATTTTCACACATATAAAACCATCTTAGTAGATACTTATCCAATTATAATGACTTACAATAATTTCTTGTATACACAGATTAACAGGGTAATTTTAGAATAAGAGAAAGACGGGCAGAGTAGCAAAGTGTTGATAGCGTGGCTGGAGTTAGGAAAAGACTGATGTAGTTTATTGTACCAAGAGTATTTATACTAAATAGATGCAATTGTAGAGACAAGCTATGATTAGTTAATTTTAGTTACCCTTTTCAACCTGTGTTATATAACATGGAAAGAGCTCGAATTTAGGAGAACAGATGAATTTAGGGACACAGCACCAAATCTAGAATAGTTAATTTTGAGGTCGCCAATTACTCTTAGTATAAAGTCCAAAGTCTAGAATGATCAAATATTCAAACCAGCACCATTTTTTTTTTCCCTCCAAAATTTAAGACTGGAGCATATAATACTCCAATCCATTCCAGAAAAGCAGTGTGCATAGTAAAAGCAGTTTTTCTCTTGACTAAGACTGAGGTTTCTGAATGTCACTTTCAAACACCTGCTGGCTAAGGAAATCATTCTGTGGTAAATGACAGCTCACTGGAATTAGCTGCCATCATACTTCCAGCCCTTGAGTAACTGTGGAGGTGCAGGGTTAATATTTTTTCTATATGACCTAAACAATAACTGAAGGCCTAAGATATATTTATTTGAAGTTATTACTACTGATTTTCTTTTTGGGTATAACAGAGGGGAGAAAGGAAGAATTAGATATGGAAGAAATTAAGAATTAAGTTCTGTTAATACAGCAAATTATACTCTTCCTTAACTAATTTGATACAGCTGATTATATTCACAAGCTATTATTATTACAATCTTATCAGAACTAGAGTTTGAATTCTTGATTATAATGAAAAGACCTTCTAATTCTTGAGTTATATCACAATCTGCAAAGTGAAAGCATATTTCTGTTTGGTACTTGTCTTCTATAGCAGCCTTGATGGCAGAAATTGGCATTGGCACAATTCAAACTTAAGAAAGCAAGATTACAAAATTAGGTAAAACAGCAACTTTGTTATGGCATATATTATGAATGCTATAAAAGGCAAAATTTTCTAATTAATGGAATTGTGAAGAAATGCAGAGAACTGATAATAAGTAAAGATGATATACCAGCTTTCCATTGTGAAAACAATGTCAACTAACAGACTGCAAAATCTGCACTATGGATTTAAATTCAGAAAATATCACTACTGATCATGATGAAAATGACTAAAAGATTTTTGAGAATGAAAAGATCTTAATTGACAGTGAGTGTGTACACATGTTTGTACAACGTACCACAAAGAAATAACTTTTTTCTTCCTTAAATCTTCATTTACTGGCAATTCATTTTTGAGTATGTACAAAACTGTCATAAACAAAAATTAATTCAGTTGTTGATATTACATTCTAAATATGGATTCAGCTCCTCAACATTTTCATATATATGTGCAAGTGCATTTTTTTCCAGCATTGCAGATGAAAATAACAACCTGCTCACACTACTTTCCAGTTCTTATAAAATGTGATTTCTTCAACACTGTCAAAGATTCATTTATGAGCCATCAATGCCCACATACATTCAAGAATTTTGTTATCAGAAAATGCATGAACTGTAGGGTGTTGTTTAAAAGGATTTTAAATATGATGGGGCTTTTCTCAATACTTTTAATCCAATCATTAAATAGATTAAACAGAACTGTAGCTACAGTCATTCAATTCGCAAGCTTTTTAAATGTCTTCCTTTGTAACATCACATGATTTACTTAAGAAATAAATATAAACTTAAGAAAACTCTTCTACAAAATCTATTTCCACTTATAAAGAACATAGGTTGAAATGCTTATATTATAATAACCTACCACAAGAAAACTCATCTGAACCATCCCGGCAGTCATACTTTCTATCACATTTTAATTCAATATCAATGCACTGTCCATTTGTGCAACGGAATTCATCTTCGTCACACGATTCTGGCTCTAATGTCATCAAAGCAAGAAAAGCAAACAAAAACAAAATTAAAATTTTATGCAATAAAAGACACAGCCATGCAATTCTTAAATATATATTTAAAAAAAGAAACAAATTCATTAAAGAAACACATTTCCTTTGTACAATGAAATTATAGGTTTAAAACCATTCTGGCATGCTCAGAAACAAATGCTTTATAAATTATTTAATTAGTTAAATATAACCATAATTTTTTTATCAGAATAATCTTTACAGCTTGTTCAAAATTATATGGTTAGCTGTTATAGATTTGCTGCAGACAGTAGATACAGGGTGATTCAAAAATATCTGGCAAGAATGCAGAGGCAGGCAGAGAGGACAAAAGTAAGTAAATTTTACAGTGGAATGGATGCACGAAATTATGCATTGAGGTAGTCTAACACTCTGGTGAGCAGTACATAAAAGTATTTTGTTGGTGCAAATTATCATTCTCAGCACAGATTTCAAGCAATGCATATTACAACAAGAACTCACAGTTCACCAATGTGCATTTTATCTATGGGGTTGTGAACGGAAATTGAGCAGTTACACAAGGAAGTACTCTGAAATTATTTTATGTACTTCCTTAGAATAATTGCTTTGTTTTAGCCATAGCCCCATACATAAAATACATGTTGGTGAGCTTCACATTCATGTAGTGATCCATATCTCTTGAAATCCACATATGCCAACAGATTGCTTTTACCTAGCATTTAAAAATGGCTGTACCACCTCAAACACCATTTTCAAGCACACATACTTCATAAAAACTACTTTGCCAAACATTTTTTAATCACCCAGTACACTATCTGACCATTCATACTGACTGGACAACATTTTGAAAAAGCAAGTCAACAAAATATACTGAGGAAAAAAATAGCCACAAGGGGGAGAGAAGAAAAATCAAAAAGCTAAGGCCTATTGAATAATGGCACCTATTACACTGAAATGGGGGGAAGGGAAATACCAAAAATATTCATTATTACCTTATTTAATAAATGACAACTGAAAAAAGACACTAACTTTAAATTTCTTTTAATAGTAACTTAACAATAACATTTTTTTTTCACATTTTGTAAACCCCTGTTTGCTGTCCTAAGATTAAATGATCCCAAGCTTAGCAATACTTTTTTTATTTTTTCAGAGGAAAATAAATTTTACATTACTAATATTATTTAAATCTTTCTGGACTAATAACTTGATAGTGCCTTAAAAGTTTTATTTTTTTAAGTGAATACTGTGTCCGTTCAAGTAAACATTTTTTTTTTATTTGAAATAAATGATATTCTTTGTCTCTTCTGTACAGAAATGTATTTACTTCACATTATGGTGAGATGCAAAGAATAAAGATTTGGATTGATTCTTCGAAAAAGCAAACTAGTTATGCCTACAGGAACATTGGTCCCATTCTATCTGTTAAAATTCATCTCACAAGCAGGTGTTGTGACACTACCTAAAAAGGTTCTAAATGCTCAGAATCTCTCTAGCCAGCTAATAAACTCATTGGCTCCCTGCCATATTCTTTTCTAAAAAGAGTCGTTAAGAGTATTTGACAGTAAATTGTTACAGCCAATTCATATGGACAACAAATTTGTTATATTATTAAAACAGTCGATTTTAATATAATCATCTCTTTTTTTTTTAACAGGCATCAAACATATTATATATACATATATATATACATCTGTGTCATATTTCTGCAAAGGATACAAGAAGAATCAACTTTCAGTCATCATAGCTGTGGTTAAGGCATACAGATGAAGATAATAAAACATGAACTTGAAGAATTTCCAGTCTTTATTCTCACACATATCCAATTAATTTGGCAAACACTTATTCAATCATAATTAAATATGATGCATTTCTATATACATTGGTTTTTAAAGAAAACGATGTATGCAGTTAAGAAGCAAAGTGATGCAAGGATGACACAGCAGCAGTTAGGGAAGTTAGTTAGCCAGAGCATTTATACCAAGTTTAATGTGCACGTACAGCTAATCTACGATTGGTTAGTTATTAGTTTTGGTTACCCTTTTCAAGCATTATTTAATATAAAAAAATCTCGAATTTGGGAGAACAAATGAATTTAGGGGGAGATCACCAAATCTAGAATGCTAATTTTGAGGTCACCAATTATTTCTTAAAGCAGCCGGTAAGAATAGAGAGGGAGAATGTTCAGCCGAAAGGATCACCAAAGGATTAATGCAAAACATCAATAACTTAAAACAAACACAGTTTTCTACATCAGCTAGTTACAGAAAAGCATACAAAGGTTACGTGACAACAGAAATGCATCTTCATGAAGTTCTATTGATATCTATAACAGTTTGATTTTTTGATTTGTTGGACATTTAAAATTTTATATTTCTGAAACGTCAAATACTAAATAAATAAATAAATAAATAAATCATCAGTGCTAAAACATTTCAATATACAAACATTATCATCTGATAGCATATTTAAGAAACTCAGTCTCTATATGTAAACATTATTGTTACCAAATATTGAAAACTAAACTATTCTTTTACAAAGTAATATAATCAGATAATCAGAAATTATGCTATATATAAGGAGACATTCAAAATACCCGATGTAGCTAGCATGTAAACTGAGCTAGCAACAAATATTGATTGCTTGTTGCTTTAGCCATTTGTATGGTAATGAAACCTCACTGTGCCTAGATATCATGGTAGCATTTAATAATTAAACATTACTTGTATTACACATCTGATTATTATCTTATTTCAGTAATGAACGCAATAGTTGTAGTTCTCTTTGGGGTAAGATAATGATCAAATTTTTCTGTTTGTAAACACCTATAATTCCATGCTCTCCATAGCTTCAAGTTTTGTTTAACTTAAATGAGAATGGAAAATCAGTAATAGTAAGCAGTTCTGTCAATAGTACACACAGATCAGCAAATTAATACTTTAATAAAACCATGCACGAGCTATTACACTGAATGATAATTTTATTCACAGGTAAAATGGTAAAATATGCTCCAATAAATTAAAATATATTATAGAAAATATGCCTTTAATAACATTCAATGTTTTAACTAATAACATGATACTACTACATCATTATTTGTCAGTTTACATAACATGCCAATTTTCACAGATCACTTTTGCTTCGCTCTTTTTAACCCATTGAGTGTTATGACCGGATTTATCTGGTCATCAGAAGTTTTGCTACTTTGCATATATCAGCTTATAATTTTAGATATTTTGCTTTCTTACTTTCTTTAATAATGTAAATAGCATCTTAATGAACGGTTTATGAAAATACAGACTAAAATAAGTAATTATACAAACTAAATTAATAAATGCTCTTTAAATACTGGTCTTCCTAACGGATCTAAAATCCTGTGCCACTCAGAGGATTAATGAAGCAATAATAATTCTTTTGAATTAAATTGCAATGATGGGAACATATCCTTTGAATGTCATATGGTTTCAAGAAAAACACCTTTCATTATTCATGAAAACCTTCAACTGTTCAGCATGGAATATAAAAATGTTAAATTTTTTCGACAATTTTTTGAAGAAATTCACACCAAACATTTTTCTGGTTATAAGAGGTTTGTAATTTTGAGAGTTAATTTTTTATTGGGGGTGGGAAACAACTTCAGAATTTCATTCCATTTCAACACTATTGATTGAATATAATTTATCACATTATCAAAAACTGAAAACTAAAGCCTTGTAATGAAATCAAAAATCATATTATATTGTAATATTACTATATGGGTAAAAGCTATGCGAATATACATCTAGACAGTTAAGTACACTATCTTGCTGAAGGATTACATGTAAAATAAGAAGGTATGTTATTTGTTATGCAGCAATTTTTTCAAAGAAAAATTTAAAAGTTCTTATAAGCAATCAAAGATAAATAAATTCTATTTCCATTTATTTTTATGCTTAAATGACAAAGTATATGCTTACTCCATTGAATAATATTACATAGATATGTCCACTTTAAGAACAATACATTAACAATATTAAACCTCTTGTAGCTACATGAAATACTTGTGTACATTTTTTGCATTAAACCTTTTAGATAGCTGAAAAGAGAAAGTTCCTAAAAATATTTCTGTATGAGATACATAATTAGACCATATTTGACATATGGAACTGGAATCTGGACATTGACTGAAAAGGATGAAGAAACACTTGCAGTCTTTGAGACAAAAATCTCGAGAAACATTGTTGGAAGAATTAAAATCTGTTTCAACGATTTCTGTAGTTTTAGGGAATTCTTCTGGTTTGAAAACTCTTAGTTGATTTTTTTTAAACATTTGTATTGAGAAACTTTGGGATTTTATTGTTTCTGAATTTCATTTCTTTCACGTCTGTGAATTAGGTTCTAAATTTCTTACTATTTTGTGTATAATAACAATCGAAAATTTAATTTTTAAAACTTCATTAAGGACTATTTTCAAGAATGTATATATATGATATGTATACACACATACATATTTTATATATACATGAATTGCTTTTAAAAATTAAAAGAAAAGTGAAACTATAATAGCTAAAGAAGGCATTAAAAATGATGTTTAATGCATTAGTGGAACCAACCTCATGAACATTTCACACATGTTTCATTATTTGAACACGTATAAACTCTCAAACACAAAAATTATAAAATCAAATTTTGCTGGATTTTCTAGAGATTTTTACAGCATTTATTGCAATAACAGTTCTTTTATCACATTGAGGGTACAGATAGCATAGCCGTATTAATTTGTTTGGTTGCAAGACATGTAACAAATCACAAACTAAACTTTCCTTGAATGATGCTCTAAATAAAATAAATGCATATTACTAAATGAACTCCTTTGTGAATTTTACGTTATTGTTGAATTTATATATCAATATATGAAAACATACCACAATTTTCTTCATCAGAATAATCAAAACAATCCCGTCTTCCATCACAGTGTCTCCTCTCATCGATACAAATTCCATCAGAGCATTTAAACATGTTTGCTGCACATTGTTCTGTGAAAAAAATTGCAAAAAATTTATTGCATTTAAGCAAATTAAAATCTAAAAACTTGGTTTCACTGCACTAACATGAAATCTATATTTAATATTTTTAGCACTTTCAATCTGCATAATTTCAATTGCATTCTGGAAAATCTCTGCTCTTGGGCTCTCTCTTGGTTATACTTTAAATTTACTAATGGCCAGAGTTTGATCAAATTCCTCGTCACCAATATACTTATGAAATTCCCCATAAGTTGAAAAATCTTGATCTAACCTGGCTGAGATTATTAAATATATTTATACATATTTATCAAAATATCATAATTTTATTAAGTACTACAGAAACTACCAAAAAAGATAAAGTTCTTCTGTAGGGGACATTTTTTTCAAACATTTTCAAAAGATATATTTTATTCTTATTTTAGCATATAATTTATCTCACAGGCTTTTTTGAAAAGTAGCTATTTTAACTGAAATGTCAAGCTGACCACTTTCCCAGCGCATATGCTGAGGCACTCGGGGGCCCAGCAGATTTCGGGACACTGCAGGCCATGGCCCACTAGGGCTGTTGCACTACTGAGTTTAGTTTTTAATCAAATAATTACATATTCTCTCTCCGTCTCTATATTTTTTTAATAAACTGTATTTATGGGCTTGCGTTTATTTCAAAATTTTCAACTAAAAATTATTAGGAGCATGATAATTTTTAAAAAAATCTTGAAACCTTATTTTGTGATTAATCTTATTTTGAGATTCTGTAAAATAATCTGCAGCCAAGAGGAGGTGTCAAAAAAATAACAAATGTTGTAAAATTTAAATTTAAATACAAATAATTTTTAAAAGAAACAATTATAGACAATGGTGAATTACAACCTTATAATAAGGTTAGTATGTTGTATATACACCATATCCCAAAAAAGGCATTACCCGGCCTTATTTTTGCAACTGCCGGTTCAGACATCTCCAAGCACAAAAATATTTTTAATCATGTAAATATTCATGTTTAGCATTTTTAAAATTTAAAAAAACAATTTGTTAAAAGCTACAAAAACTAACTTTTCATGCAATCTCCAATCTTTATAGTTACATGTAGGAGAATTTTTTACTCACTATACAAAATAAAACACAGAAAGTTTGACTTCCATATGACAAAAATTGAATGAGATTTTTAATTTCCAAATATTCGATTTTTTACATCATATTCAGTTTTCGCTGAAGAGTCATTTAATAAATAAATTAGAATAATTCAAGTTCAATTTTCTCCCATTTAAGTGTCATTTAAAGACATTATTTTGTGATTTAATAGTTCTTTAATTTATAATTCTATCATATTTGGCATGATGAAAGAATTTTCCCATAAGTAATTTATACACTTTCAATGTCTAAGAATATTTAAGTTCTCATGAAATTTATTACTTAAGGATTACAATCTGAAAATCGCACAAAACATTAATTAAATTATAAATAAGTTTGATTTTTTAATTAATGCAAATAATATTACGAGTTGGCTGCAAATAATATTATGAGCTTTATGATTTTTAATTAATGCAAAAATATTACGAGCCAATTATATGTCAATAATAAACCCTATTAGAGTTTTTTAGAACACAAATATCACCCAAGTAAAGTGGTTAATGTCATTTTGAAGGACCCAGGTTCGAATCCCGGAGAAGTCATGGATGTAAATATATAACAACTGTGCAGCATAGAAGCACTCAAACTATGTAGTGAGCCAGAAGTCCTCCAGAGAGATTGGTGGTTAGTGAAGAGAGAAGGTGAACTCTCAGATCTGCCCTCTAGCGGTCATTCCTTCAAAACTGGGATGGCAACTAAGCATAGAGTCTGACTGTCACCTGCATGGTGCTGAAGGCTCTGACTAATGAGAGACACAATCTTGTACTCCTTACTATAATAATTCATGGGCTTGCTCTGTTTACATCAGACAAGTAAGAGTAGTAACAATAGAACACAAGTTCTGTAAGATTCTGTGAATAAGATCTAATTTTTGAAAAAAAAAATTATATTGATCAATATTTCAGAATAATCTGCATAAAAAATGCTTGCCATGTAATTGCTTAACATCACAAACTTTTTTTCTTAAATAATACTTTATTTTTAATTATGTGTAAATGAAATATTTTGCTTTTCAATTTGTGTATGACCCCTGAATATGATTCCCCATTTCTATATCAAATATTTCAATTAATTTTTGTCACACTGGAGTCACACTTTTTGTGCTTTATAATGAATAAGAAATTTTCTTAAATATAAGCAGAAGGACTGGTTGAACATATAAAAAATTAGATTTCATACTTCCTGTAAAATTATTTGTTTTTTTAATTTAAAAGTACAAAAACATGAATCTTTGCATTAATTAAAATATTTTGGTAACTAGAAGTACATGTCTACAACCAATAGTTTTAAAAATAAAGGCAGAGTAAGGACTTTTATGGACATGGTTTATAATAACAGATATAACATTCAACTAATATTAGATATAATAAGGGATATAACATTTTTAGATGAAATAAATGTATATAGATAAACTTACCACAATTTACTTCATCAGATCTATCACGACAATCTGGATATCCATCACATCGTCTTCTGTCGCTGATACACGAGCCATCACCACATCGAAACTCATTTGCCTGACATTCTGGGAAAGATGAAAGTTTCATAAAGACATTATTGCTAACAACCTACGTGATGTAACTTAAAATAATTTATAACAAATGGAAAGATGTTTTTAACATGTTGAGGAGAATGTGAACTATCATTTTTCGTTTTCCAAACAATAAAAATGGAAGACAGAAAATGGCACTTTTTAATTTCAAAAATCCCAAAGACAAATAAGGATTTATATTATTGAACTTTCAGATGCATGAACCAAATTACAACAGATCACATTTTTGTATATGTAAAATCATTATTATTTCAACAAAAATCAGTTTTGAACAATTAATCCAAAATGGAGCATTACTCCTAAGAACACAGTGCAGTAATTTTCCCAGATGTGTTTTCAGATATACCAAGTATTGCTGGGATTATGATATTTTTCAGAGTGAGAGTGATTTTCCTAGTCAACAAGATGAAAAAAATATTCATCCCTTGTTCAATGATAGCAGTGGTGGTGAAGATAAAAGTTAGCAAAGTAACAACCTTGGGTTTATCATAAATTTAGTCAATAACTCAAATGATGATACATGTCTTGAAAAGAAATCTACAAGACATGTCTTGCAAATTTCTTCGCTCTTGATGAAGAACGGAACTATAACTGTCTTCCCTCAAAATTGATTGAGTTATTGATCAAATTATAAGTTGCTTATTGAATCTATGGCAAACACAAAGGTTGTTGCTTTGCTAATTTTATGCTTCATTTTGGCATATGTCTATTCTGTTTTGAAGATAAAAGTTATTTAATAGACAACTACATCGATAACGTCAGGCATTAAACAATAAAAAAAATTACTATTTTGGGCATATTCACAAGAAGTCCAGACAAATAATAAATTCCTTCCATACCTACAAGCATTTCCAAATTACAGGTTTGGTTTTTGGTGATGCTTTCTTTCTATGTTGTACACTGGGCAAACCTATTTTATCATCAGAATCAATAAAAATGGAGAATAAACTACTCCAGAACAATAAAATGAATTGCTGTAAGGATAAAGGAAATTTAACAATAGATCTGTTATTATAATTGTGCCACATACAAAAACGAATCATATCAAGGACCTACAGATCCATTTTTAGAAACTCCAAACTTGCAAAAATAACAAACTAAGAACTGATTTAATCAGAATTTGCAATCTCTATATCTCAATAACAATGAATTACAAAATGATTCAATAGTAGACTTCTCAAAATGAAGCCAGATTTAGATTAGATACTAAACTATTATCTCATCAACCATGAAAGTTGGTGGGAGTCCCGCCAAAGTTGCACTAGCCATTCATGTGGAATTCTGAGCTACACTTCTGGCTGTAATTCTTGCACATAAAACATGCATCAGTTTCTCTGCAATAATCTAACAATATGCATTGCTAGGGAGGTGTTCGAGCTGCTTCACTTTTGCACTTCATAAAATGGCTTTCACCAATTTCAGTTATTTTGTTAGGTCCTCCGTTTTTACTGGAACTCCTGTTTAGAAAGTCATAAGTACCAATTTCCCATAGGTGACTGTTCCAATCTATTGCTGTTTTATCAACCATATCAAGGTGTTTTTTCCCCTCTCATTCAACAGATATTAATTCTCTCACCAACTGTAAATGAATTGGAATGCAGTCACAAATGTAATTTTACAGCCATCAAACTCCCTCTCCCCCCCAAAAAAAAATGAAAAAATAGCAGTAATAGTTCATTTATATCTTTATTCATAAACACAGAAAAAGACTTATTGAGAATCAACAGGAGTTACATCAAACAAAAGCGCAGATACTAGGAGTGTGCTGTGATGCCACATTTACATATAATTGTTACTAAATTGCATTGCTTGGTGACAGTTTCATAGTGGATGAGAGAATACCTAAATATCTTAGATTATTTCATTAAAGTATTAAAAATAGTATACAAACTCACCCAAGAAATATTACAAGATGAAATTATGATTTCTGGAAAGTTAAAAGTTCTAATGTATAACTTGGTGAAAATTAATTACATTAGAAGTAATAAAATATTACCTACTTTGAATAGGTGAATTTATATTCCTGTATATACCCAAATTATGGAGATACCGAGGCTTGATTTATTTTGCAGTATATCATCAATAGTACATCAATACAACAGCATGCTAAAATTACTTCTAAAAGTGTGTTATTTAAAGACACAGAAGATTTAGTTAACCTAAATAAATCTTCCTTGTCTTTAAATACAGTCAAACCCCACAAACTTCAAGGGATCAAAAGTTTTGTTCACTATACTTAATTTGATAAGGGGGGAGAGAGGGGTTATCTCTCAAAATAGTATGAAAATTGGTGAATCAAACAGAAGCAGTGATTAGCATTATCACATCTTCCCCAAAAATGTTAATGGTAAATATAGTTTAACAATAAGTGTATATTAAAAGTGGATTGCAATTATTATTATGTGCAATTACTAAATTTCTTTTCTGTTGTTTTCCAGTTTCACCATACGTTAACAATTTTATTTGCAAAATAACTTAGCATAAAAGTCATGATTTACAGCTGCCCTTCAGTTACACACTTCCATCTAAAATACACATTTACAAATATGAATAAGCATTTAAGCACAGTACTGTCTGACAACTCAATCAAAGAACTGATACAAGCTCTTTGTCTCAAAGAATCAACGATTCTTTGACTCAGTACATGACACAATAGGATATCGTAAGGTACATTTATTATGTGTCCTGGTTTTTCAAGAACTGAATGCTACATCTGCATTGCACAGCCTTTTGTTCGGAACACACAGAAAAGTTGGAAAGGGGAGAGATAAAATAATAATAACAACCTAGAAGTGTTCTTCACTATTCTAATAACTTTTTAAAATGGGGGGGGGGGAATTCAGTCCAAGATATCCACAAAGTTCATTAGATCCAATTTAAACACATTTGGAAGTTGAATGGCATGAACAAGTTCATTCATTATATCCAAGGAATTCATTATAAGCCAGGTTTGCCTGAAATATGTATTTTTATACACAAATCTTAACTCTAGAAGAAATTCTTAAGCACAGACATAACATAAAACATATAAACACATACATAATACCATAAAAAAGGCCTTTCTTAAATATTTGTATTCATTAATAAATTATGCAATATAAGAAAAATTTTCAAAAATTATTTAATTAGATTTAAGGATATTCCCCCTATTGTCCTCATATTTTAAGTGTCAATTTGGCACTAAGATTATTGCGACATTCATGTTTACTTCTCACATGCACTCGGTGGCTACCATCTGTCCATGAATATTTTTAGTATGAAGAAATCAGAAGCATTTTCTCATTCATCCCAACACTTCCACGACACGAACCATGAACCTTGAACCTTGAACATGTCCTGCCATGAACAAGGTAAGACATATGATGATGGTGAAACATGCCTTATTAATTTTTATCCCACTCTCGAAATTTGGATGCTGCAAGTTTCAGTTAAAAGTTATTTAATAGACAACTACAGTAAAAGTTATTTAATAGACAACTACATCGATAACGTCAGGCATTACAGATTGCCTTATTAACTTTTATCCCACTCTCATTATTGCCTTATTAATTATTACCCACTCTTATTAATCATTACAATCATTACATTATTAATCATTACATTATTGCCTTATTAATTTTTATCCCACTCTCGAAATTTGGATGCTGCAAGTTTCAGTTCTACTTCATAAATTTTAACAGGAGCAGTGGCAAAGAATCTCTAAGGAGAAGAAGTAAAGGTTTCCCGAGGCAAATGTGGCTCTGTCAGACTGAAGAGACACTGTGTATGTCCCTGAAGCTTATTTCAAAGGGGCAATCCATCCACCCTTCGTACCTTTCTGCGCATGTGGCCTTTTTCTATAGCAGGCCTAATTTGAAACCGGCATGTCGTCAGCCATATTAGCAGTCTTTTACCGCGTTGTTTCGAATAGGTTCTTGAAAGTTTTTTTTTTTCAGTTCTTTGTTGTAGTCAAAGGTGCATGTTTTAGTTATTTAAGCAGAATCTTAAGATGGATGTTTCGCAAGACGATCACCGGAATTCACCCGATTCTTCTTTCTGTGAAGGTAAGCTTGCTTTTTTAAATTTGAATACCTATCATAGATTTTAAAAATTGATTTTGTATAGTACATTTTAATTTTGATTCCCAAGCTCCGAAAATATTTTGTCTCATTGTATAACACAGCAGCTAGATTTTCATTCTTAAGTTACTTAATATATTAACTTTGCATTTTAGTATAATATAAAAATAAAATATTAACTTTGCATTTTAGCATATGAATCATCTTAATTTATATAATTAATCATATGGCAAACAAATACTATAGTTTGTGCAGGCATATTGGTATTTCTTTCTAAATTTTTAAATGAGTTTTAAGCTTTAAAGTCTAACTAATAATAATATTACGACAAAACGAGCGATCTGGAATAAATTTGCCATTTATAATAATGCTGGCAGCTAATGGCATGTATGATTGCATATAAATTAATTTTATTAATAAATTGCGTTATGCTTTATTCAGCTTTAAAATTTATGCTATAGATTACCGAATAGTTTTATCTGAGAAAATTTATAACTCATTTAATATTAGTGGCCACTTGAAGATATTACAGTATTATTTTTAATTTAGTATATTGATAGTTATATACAATTTTTCGTTATTTATGATTATTTTTGAAAAATTTTATATTCATTATTATAAAAATATAATTTTTGATTTCTCTCAATATTTGATGTGGTGTGGTGAATAACAGACTAACTCAATCTATCTTTTACTTAGCAAACAACCCAAATCCTGATATTGCTGTTGTGTTTGTGGGACAACATCTCGAAAAAAACACCAGACAGGAAATCTTCAGATTTCCTAAGGATCCTATTAGGTAAATCATTTCTAAGTTTAAAAGAAACTAAGCTTTGATTATTAATAATATATATATATCTCAATTTTTGATAGAGAAGCAAATATTTCATGTATTTGGAATAATTTAAATAAATA